TTCCCCCACACACATGGCCCCAAGCCGGCTGGCTGCAGCCAGGAGCCACAATTCCTCCACTCCGCCCAGCCCATTCAAAGTTGCGGGGATCTCCCTTCTGGAGGCAGGCTCCTCATTTTTCCATAGTGACACCCCAGGGCCAGGGGAGCCAGGGGAGGAGACAGCGAAAGAACGTGCTATAAAAGGACCTGTTCGCCTCTCGCCACCGCGCAGGGACAGTGTGAACGCGATAATTCGGAGGGAAGCCCCAGCGAGCAGAACGGTCACAACAGCCGTTCCTGCCACTGCAAAGTGGCTAGGGAGCAGGGTGACAACGAATAGCGGCCAGGCACGCACGCAATCCCGACCCCCTACTTCCCCGGGTGGCTCTCCAGCAGCCTAGCCAAAGGCGGGGAAGTTGGAGCGGGATGCAAAGGAATGAAAGAGAAGTCAGAGACCTGTGTCAATACAGGGCACTCACGCCCAGCAAGTCGCATTTTGTGTGCGCCCTCCTCGGACAAAAAAAAAGGGGAGGGGGCCAAACTTTTTTCTGGGGGGAGGGGCGGGGGCGGCAAAAAACCTAGAGCCAGCCCTGAACGCAGGAAAAGGGGGAAGGGCACGCAGGGGTAACGTCATGGGGAGGGCTGTTCTCAACTCGTTTCCGGGGGCTGGGCCGGTTGCTGAGTGTCGTAGGATTGCCAGGTGTCTGGTATTTTCGCCTCCTGGCAGGCGAAAAAAAAAAAAAAAAAAGAGAAAATACCAGATATTTTAGGTGTCCGATACTTTAATTTTTTTTTATTTTTATTTTTTTAACGGGACAGGAGGCAAAAATACTGCACTGTCTGGGTCAATACCGGACACCTGGCAACCGTATGACAGTGCTGCTGAACAGTGCTGACCATAATGGGTCCCCAATCTTAGCTAGGCCTGTGTGTGCTTACAATAGTTGTTTAGGAACAAGGTTAGCAGCTCTTTCCCCCTCCCCCTATTTTAAAATGATCAGGTCTCCATTTTCTCAAGTTAATATTACTGAGACATTCTTCATTCAAAGTTCTTACCACTGGAAGCAGAGTTCTTAAGCGCCATTGCCTGCTTCTTTTTTACTCCTTTCTGGATTCGTATTGTGGCCCACTGTTCAAGAGGGAAAAAGAGTGTGTGTTTAAGAGACAGTGTTTGATGTTGTGACATTTGCTCACCATTAAAGAACTTCAAGAAAGTAGAATGTATTTCCCTGGACAGCCATCTGCATTAAGTTTGTCTCTTCAGAAGGCGCACACACACACCACCTCTGATTTGGTTCCTGTTCTTAAGTGTCTTGATACAGATGAAAAATCCTGCCAGCAAGAGTCAGTGGGGGAAAAAAAGCCAGTAGTTCTAGACTCACTCTGCCAACTTTAATAGAACAGAATGAGAAGTCAAGGACACAAATCACAAGATTTTTTTTTTTAAAGGCCTCATTACTGGTCTTCAGCATCCAAGCAGCGTGGAGACAAACCAGTTGTAAGCCATGTCCCAGGCTGCCAGTCTCCTTTTTTTCAGTAAAACCTCAGTTTAGAGTAGATGGGAAGGGAATATTTTTATCCCTCATGGCTACAAATAAGCTAGAAAGTGTTCTCAGTGCACACAAAATACTCAAATATCAGAGATCAAGAAAGAAAACCCATGGCTCTTCCCCCGCACCCCCTTAAAAAAAAAAGACAACGACACAGGCTTTTTAAGCCAATTATGATTTCTGAGCACATAGTGCTAAGTTATTGCTTAAAGGGTGAACATGGTATTAGTGACTAATCTCTAGCCTAGGCCAATGGCTCACAAAGGAGGTCTAGCATGATGCCACTGAACAGCCTTTGGCACTTGTTTTGAACAGTAAAGAGAAGCAAACTTAGGTGCCACACTTGCAGTTTCACAGAGGGAGAAACCTACCAACAACCTCTCCCAGACATCCTGAGGCAAGAGAATACAAACTAGCAAAGCTAGTCAGTCATTTTTTCCATTAAGTGTAATTCTTTGCACTTTACTGAATTTCAGCTTGTTGATTCTAGACAAGTTATTTTATTGGTCAAGATCATTTTGAGTTCTAATATGTTCTGCGTGCTTGCAACCCTGCCCCCGATTTGTTGCCATCTTCAAATTTTATAAGCATGCTCTACACTCAGAGTCATTATTGAAAGTGTTGGCTAGTACCAGTCTCAAGACAGACCATGTGGGTCCCTTCTACGATACGTACTTCCAGCTTGACAGCAGATAGCTGCTCCATGATCTTTCAACCTGCTGTGCATCTAGTTTATAGGAATTTAATCTGGACCACATTTCCCTAGGTGTTTAGGGGTGACAAAAGCTTTACTAAAAATCAGAATCTGTCATCTACAACTTACCCCCATCCACTAGGCAAGTGCACTTGTCAAAGAAGGAGGTTAGGTAGGTTTAGCATGATTTGTTCTTGATAAATCCACAAGGACTATTCCTTATAATCTTATTAGCCTCATGGATCTTTTTAAAAAGTGACTGTTTAATCCTTTGTTTTGGTATCTCTTCAAGTACCAAAGTTAGGCTAACTCATCTAATCCCATAAGTCCTCTCGATTACATGTTTAAAAAAAAAATACTACGTTTGCCCTTCTCCAATCCTCCGTGAACTCACCGGTCCTCCAAAGAGGATTGCTAGTGGTTCTGAGATTGCTTCAGCTAGTTCTGCAAGTATCCCAGTGTGAAGGACTGGCCAACTTGAATATATCTAACTTATTTAAATCTTCTTTAACCCATTCTCTCTCCATTCTGCAATGCGTTCCTTCCCCCCAGTTGTTAATATTAACTGATCTAGTCCCAATCAGCCTTTTTAAAGAAGTCTGACGAAAAAAAACACACACACACACACACACACACACACAAACACAAACACAAACACAGAGAGAACATCTCAGCCTTCTTGATGTCATCAGTTATTAGCTCTTTTTCCTAGTAAGTAGAGGGCTTGCACTTTCTTCATGGCATAATGGAGCTACATATCAACTACAAGCACAAATCTTCTACTAAAGACAGAAGTACAGGTTGTACCTCCCTTAACCGGGACTCTGGTCTAGCAACATCTGATGTTCCTGGACCATGGAGTCCCAGTAGAAGGAGGTCGGGCCACAGGGCAGGAGTGGGGGAGGAAGGGCACGACTCAGCCAGGAGTCCCGTGTTAAGGGAGGGGGTGCAGCAAAGAGTTCTGGCCCCCTGTTGCCAAGCGATAGAGGGGGGCCGGCAACAGCCACAGGCCCCGGCAGCCGCAGAGCCCCAAGCTGGGAGCCATGGCTGGGCAGGCAGCAGTGGGGCTTGGCTGGAGTCCTAGCCAGGGGCAGCAAGGGCCATGTTGGGAGGAGCCTCCCCTCGTTCAGCCAATCCCCTTGTCTGGGTCCAGTCAGGTCCCGAGGGTGCCAGACAAGGGAGGTCCAACCTGTACAATTTACCTGGTTCTTTGGGACTGAGTAACCTTCGTACTGGTGTTATTTTTTGTTGTGACCGTTGATGACAAATGCAAACTTGTCAAGATAAACAGAGTATCCACGAGACTGTGTCTATATCACAGGGCTTGAGGAGTTTACATTTCATATTTGGTTGGTGAAACGTACATAGAGAAAAGTCTCAACCAACTGGGTGTTTGTGCCCCTCCTAACAGTTTGCCCTGAGGTTGGTACTCGCGGTCTTAAGCTGTCCAGAGTCGTTCAACACTCCTGCTGCGGTTGTCTATCCTAGACTCCACCATGTTGTCACCCATTTCCCCTTCCCCATTTATGTTCATCTTGAGACCGTCGGCTGGTCTGCCTCTCACCTCCAGGTGGCCGACAGAATTGCCAGGCTCTTGGTGTGGGGCGTGTTGGATGCATACTCCTGGACAGGGAGGGACCTCGGGCAGACGGTGTGGGGCTGGAGCACTAGCCTTCAGCACTGCCAAGATCATGTTGCACTCCTCTGCCCCTTCCCCTGTCCCCTCCTCCCACCAGCCAACCCTTGCTCCAGCATTGAGTTAACGAGCCCAGGGCTTTGGCTACCACTGCTGCCAATGTACCAGAAGCAGCAAGAGCCCCAGGCCATTTTAAATTGTCAGCCCTGGGGCAGTTGCCCCCCGGCTCTTGTCTTGCTTATCTTCTTCCCGACCTCAGAACAAGTATTTATATTCTTGATGCAAAAATGCAGGACCTCCTCTCTGTTATTCCTGTCTGTCCTACTCCTGTCATGCAATTTATCCCACCAAGTCTGTGATGCTACATTTGTCATCATTTCGTTTGTGCATTCTGACTCCCTGCTTATAACCCATTTTCCTTGCACGTGTGGAGAAGACATCTAATATGTTGAGCAGATTTCCCCAGTTCTCTCTTGTTGCTCCTATAACCTTATTGGAGTTTACCGTTTCCTCCCCCAACTTCTAGCCTTCTGTTAAGATCACTTTTTTATATCTACTTATGGGTCTTTGTCACCACCTGCTCCCTTTGAACTTAGGGTGAAACAATCCTCACTAGGCTGGCAAGTCTGTGTCTGAAGATGCTCTTCCCTTTCTTGGTCTGAGGGACTAGTACATTTCAATTGTCTATTATACTGGTGTTTGTGTTATGCTATGTAGCACTCAAAGCACTCGATTCTCAGTGGGATATAGTGCTTGTTTCCATCTTGGATCACCAAGACCAGAGACACGTAATAACACAAATCCCGTTATCTTGCTTCTTCAGCCTTCATTTCCAATACAAAGACCTGCTAGTTCAAGAACCAATGTTGTGTATGTACACGGATTAAACCTTTGAGTGATCTTCCATTGAGTGTTTGTTGCTAACCCTGAAAGCTTAACAAAACATGTGGATAGTATCATGAGCTTTTGTGGGCACAACCCACTTCTTCAGATGAATGGAGTTATTAAAGGTCCAGTTTTAAAATAAAAATGGATCTCAAAGTCATTGTACGATTTCAGGCCCTCAGCCAATTCCACAAGCCATATACATAGGGAAGCCTTGGAACTTAACTCCATTTACAGGTTTGATTCCCATCACAAAAGGTCTGAATAAAGACATTGGCTGGGTGGCCTTCTACACTCCACATCCTAATGACATTTAAAAAAAAAAAAATCAAAACAATGGGTACTAAGAACAATTTGCAGCTTTTCTACCAACTTCATATAGCATAGAGGCTCTCATTGACTATTTCTCTTCTCCCCCGCACTCCACCTCTATTTTGAAACTTGTCCTTTAATAAGTCCATTCATCTGAAGAAGTGGGCTGTGCCCACACAAGCTCATGATACCATCTACATGTTTGTTAGTCTTTAAGGTGCTGCTAGACTATTGTTTACATTTTTCCAGTTAGACTAACTCTGCTACCCCTCTGAAGCTCCTGAAAGCTTAGGAAGGTACTGGCTGAGGTAGAGGGAGGAAGCAAGAATTCAGGACAACTCAAATCGCCAAGCAAGTATATTTTGCTGTCACATTGATATGCTCCCCTCTCTCAAGTTTTAAACTTCACTTCAAGTAGGCAGCATTCGTACCTGTGCCTGGGTTCCCTCTCCCAGGAAACAACCGAAAGGTATCAAAGATGCTCATGCCATCACGTGCAGCTTCCCTTCCTTCACCCCTTCCATCCTCTGCCAAGACTTTGACAAAACTTTTTGGACAAGAAAGGTCTATTATATCAGCACAGTGCAAAGCACTATGGCAGGCTGATCTGCTTTCCGACATCAGCTATAACCTTTTTCAAATAAATGGCAAACTATGAATTACAATAATTTGCATCACAATGTAAAGTTCTATCTTTCATTACTGGTCTAGGCTAGACATTTTGAGAAGTATAATTTTTCCTAGCTAGTTGCCTTGGACTCAAGTATTGATCAGACACAAGTATGAATCTCTACCTGTTTTGCATGGAGAAAAGATGGGAATCTATAGACACACCAATTTAGAGTTTAGAAGGAGCAGCTAGTGTCTCACTTGGAAACATTCCTGGTAAGGTTTAATATTATTGCTGGACTATTTTAAAGGCAGCAGCAAATACTTCTGCTGTGTTCAGACCTGAGTAACCATCCTGAAAAAAAAACACAGGATATTGAGACATGCATCTGTAGTGTTCACAAAGTGGCAACACCACTCTGTACAACAATGCTTTGCAGAAG